AGCAACAGAGATGAAGTTCAATTGGTGAATCCTCAAGCGGTTAATCTGAAATCTTACGAGGCTCGGCTGGAAACAGCCATTACTGATTACACCAGGTATTTACAGCATCGTATTTCACTACCAAATTACCCAGACGACATCATGAATCAGAGAGGCTTACCCTTATTTTATGGTTGCTTTTCTTTCAGGCGCCTCGATGAGCTTGTTTTCGTCTGTCTAAGCGACGAAGAAAGAATAAAGTGAGTGATCATCTTATTTCGTAGGGGCGAACCGCATTTACAAGCCAATTCTCCGTTACGAACTCTCAATTTGGTCCCCATTAAATACCAACTGAAACCATCTTCTATTTCAAAGAATTAAACACCCTAAGACACTCTTTAATCTAACAGTGCACACTTGCTTCGCTCGACTTTGGTCATTGCGTTTTTACACGCTCATGCAGGTGAAGCCCCTTTTAACGTAAATGACTCCTGAGAAAAGGTTCCTTGAAGAATGTCGTCAAAAAAGCACGAACATGTTTCAATCACATGCGGTTATTGCCTATTAAAAGTGAACAGCCGTTGCCTCTAATTTCTTCTCACTCACAGCTCTTTTTAATACTAACGGTAACCGTGTGGAACTCCTGGAAATATGATTAAAAATCATACGCACTACCTTGTTAAAAGGAAATAGGTGACGTTTACACGTAATTACAAGAGAGGCTACCTGGCATTGTTTTTTCCAATAATTCATCACGCGCGTGCAAAGATGGCGGATCTATTTAGCGTTAATTTCTTACCTTGTCGTTTCCTCGTCGTGTAGTTAGCGATGTTAACCAACGTGTAGTTTACTTACCATTTTTCTTTTTGTGAGCCAGGTATCCTGAGGATCGACTTCCTTCCTTTCTCGATAACAAAGCGTCCATGATGGATGACTTGGAGAAACAAGACTGGCCTGTCGACCCTGATGATATCAATTTACTGGAAAAAGAAATACAGCAAGCTCAAACGTTTCTTCTGCAATCCAAGGACTTGAGACAGAAATCAGAAGAGGTAAAAAGTCGCGCTGATGATGTTGTTAGAGGCCATTCCGGTACTAGCAACATGACAGATCACACAATACACAATGATATACACAGGCAAAGTTCCATATTTGTCCATCTTATTGGCGTACGCCTTTCATAAGTGAGCGACCCTCTATCTAACAGTTCTCCCATTTAAAGAAGTTTGAACCTCTCAAAGACGGCCAGGCGTCCGCGAGAACCAAATCTTGGTGAATTTCTCGACTGTACCTTTATAATTTGGGAGAGCCTTACACATACGTAACAGTTGTGCGCCTGAGACCTCTTTTGTCATTTTCATTTCCTTCACGCCTGACTCGAGCTTATAATCAGAACGAAAAATTAGAAAAAGGTTATTCCAAAGATCAGAACAGTAAATGACCACTCGAGAAAAAACATATCTTGAATTGACGTACAACTCTTTGGCAGGCATCCCGTGAGATAGCGGAAAAACAAAGAAAAGCTCGGGAAGAAGCAGAAAACAAGCGAATCGAGCAAATCATGACCAAGGTTAGTATCCATTTATGGTTCGTATCTCTACTGAGTTTTTGGCAATACAAGAATATAAGGATGTCGACTACTTTCCTATTCTTGTCAATGAATTGGAACTAGCCAACAAACAATGCTAGTTTTAGTCCGATTCTCCCGCGTAAACTCCGTCTGTGAGCTACAATCATGGACAAAAGTCTTGGGACACTTTTGCGTTTTTTGGGCGTTTTCCAATTCACTGACAGTTTCAACACCTCCCCTCACCCCACAAACAATGTTGGACGCGTATATCCGGATTTTTTTCCAAGTTTCAACTTTGTATATGGTGGGGGGACGGAGAACTGCAAGAAAATTCAAGAGGATTCACTGTTTTGTGAAGAAACCGAGAAATGACAGAAAAATATGAATATTGCAGTACTGCCCCAGGGACTTTTGTCCAGGATTGTAGTTCCAGTTTGCTCATCACAATTCGAAAACTAGGGGTGACGAAGTCGTGAAAGGGCGACTCCCCTCAAAACGTCCAAGTTTAAGTGCAACATGATAAATGAATAATCTTGTCTATGGACTCGCCGCGTCTTATTCCTTGTTCATAAAAACTCCTGACTTGCCATATCTGAAAAGTTTCTTTTTCAACAGGGTCCTAAGCCCGCTCCGCCTGCCCAGTCAACCTCCAATAAAAATCGTCTTCTTCACCACAAGGTTTTGGCGCGAAACGAGGTGGATGGCTTCTACTACGCAGGCTTGGTAGTGCGCTGTTTGAACTCACGTTATGTCGAGGTTGACTTCCGGGATTTTGACCGTCAGGTTGTTTCCTCTAGATACGTCATTGCTATGCAGGGAGCCAGGCCTTGTCCGTCACTTAAGGTTCAGTATCCCTTACTTTCTGTAAAAAATGCAGGTTACAATGTTGTGGGTCGTGTTGTATTAGAGGGATCAGGCATAACTTGGTTACGCTATCCTCCGTTTCTTGTCTCGAAGGTGTAGATTACTGAGTTGTACCGATTCTTTTTTTCATATATAGTCAGGCGTTTTTAGGTGATATATTTGCTTCCATCTGCGGCGTTTAGTCAAGTAAAAAGGGTAACTCTCCATTTATACGTTTTCTTTTTGTGCAATATTCCTGTGCTGTATTACATATCCTTATGCTCATGTGCATCACGCAAAGCAGTTATATTTTTTTTTCTTCATCAAAGTGGTCGCACTTTTATCTGTTTATTGGCCCCTTGGAACTAATCCAATCTTCATCTTAGCTTGGGGGTGTGTGGTAGAGACGTTACAGCCTACCAGTATCGCAAAAGACGAGTCTAGTTCACCCTCAGAGTACGTTGCATTGATGGTATTTTATTTTAAACTGATGTGTTTTTTGTTCAACAGGTTGGCGACTATGTTCTCGTCAAGACCCTCGTTCCGCGCGAGGAAGAAGATGATGAGATAATTGACGGCGTGCAGTGTTACGTCCCTGGAATCGTTCAAGTTGTTCCACTCAGAAAAGCTACAGCCACCAAGTGCTACACAATACTACGCTTTAATGGTAAAAAGGTCGGTAAAGGTCAACTCTACAGTAACGAGACCCTCTCTTAAGCGAAGACGTTTCAGGCCTCTCACCTATTTGGTCATGGTTCGAATCAGAAATAGAGAGGAGATGGGTGACTACACGTTATCATGGTAGCGAAATATCTAGATCTCGACAATCTTTCTTGACAGAGACAGCCATTTGTCAAACGATGGAAGAAAAGTATAGGCTACCNTTTTTTTTTTTTCTGCCATATTTGCAGGACCATGGTTTCTTGAGATCCAGAAATTTTGCTACCAATGCAACCTGACGTAACGATTACTGTTATGATTTGTCTTGTTTTCTCTTCTTCTCTTAACAAACACTACCAAATCTTTCATAGTCGCTACGGGGGTAAATGAGTTATGTTCATTTTTGTTTGTTTGCCTTGTTTTTACATGAAAGCGACAGTAATTCTGTCCGAGAGGTATTTATTCCTAGTAATGAACGACTTGGTCCATTTAGCGGAGACTATATGTAATATTGCCGTTCTGTCGAGATTATTTAAACGTAAACTCATTGTGTTCCTAATAAAAGTCCTGTCCTGTTGTCATGTCTACATTCAGTTTCAACTGATGTATCTTTTCGATTACATTATATTCAGATAACATCCGTGAGGAATGACTTGGTGAAGATTTCTAAAGCACGCTACACATTCGCCTGTCGCTACATCAGAGATGCTTTGCTTTCTGCTTATCGATCGTAAGTTGAAGTAAACTAACATTACTCTCTAATCTTTTTGGAAGAGAGGTTTCCAGTTCAGTGCATTTTTACTTTCAAAAGTGCAGGTATCAAGAGTACTTTTCGTGGCGAACTTAGAAGTCAGTGCTAATTTTAAAACTACATTTTCAGTTCCCTGACTTTATCTTGGGGCGTCTAATCAATGCGCCTCCGTTACTTCTTTTAGAACAACGCCGTTTGGAATGTACTTAAAAGAGGCTGAAGAAGACGCTCTCTCCGAGGATAAAGGTATATAAACAGTTACAACTCGCCTCTGTAGAAACGAGAAGGAATCTTTCGCAAAGACCTATGGGACTGTTATTAAGGACAAGAAAAAAAATGGCGCGATCCCAGAAACAATTGCGGGACGCGTTTCGGCTCCAGTTTCCTTCGCGTTTCTAAAGTAGCGAACATTGTGCGTCTGTTTGATTCCACGACTAACATACATCACATTCTTTCTAACGTACTTTCTTTGGTCCATTAGACAAAAACAAGGGAGAAGAATCGCCTCGGAGCCAAGCTAGCAGTCGAGCCAGCAGTCGGGCCAGCAGTCACTCCAGCAAAAGCAGCCGCGCTAGCAGTCAAGGCCGCAACAGCAGAAGCGGTAGCCGCAGTCCAAGTGCTAATGGGAGCACTGCACCCTCATCCAAAGGGGCGTCACCCCGCGAGCCGGCAGAGGAGAGGAGATCTTTCGAGGAACTGAAACAGGAGCTGGAGGAGGAACATAGGAAGCAGCTGGATGAGGTCAACAGAAAAATACAGGAGTTACAAAGACTGCTGGAAGAGGAGAAGGAAAGACACAAGAGAGCAACAGCAGAACTTAAAGACAAGCGGCGAGAATTAGACGATGAACAACAGAAGTTTCTTCAACAGCAGATCGATGAGCAAAATAAAAGGTTTGAACTTTGATCTTGATAAAACTTATCAATAATTCATAAGCCCATTGACCTATCAAATGGTCGATAATACATCACGTGCAGTGACTTTATATCGATAAAATCTCCCCTCATTAGTATACGGTGTTTTATCAGATAAAAAGTCACTGCACGTGACTTATGAATATTAATTATCAGCACAGCAACTCATACCGACACAACGAATTGTGGGTGAATATTTAATGTTCTTGCAAAATTACACACGCAGTAAATTTACTATTGCACAAACTTAAACTTTGTTCTTTCACCAGTTTAATCAGCTAAAAGTTCAGTGACTCGGCGGTAATATTGGCTATAGCAGTGTCCAACCGTTGCCAAGACTTGCCAGTTGTGAAGACATGACGCAAGGCTCGAGTCCTGAATTTTTGTTTTCCTACGATTCTGCCATTCCAGAAAAATGTTTTCAACGACTACTTTTTCACTACACGTGTTGTCTTTGGGGAAGCATTTTCGATTAACTTCCTCTCTTCCCCGGCACTTGTAGGTTTCCAAAAAGCTCTGGAACAGGACGCCATAGTTTCCTTCGTGGAAGAAAAGTTCTAACGCGTGTGAGATTTCATTTTCTTGCATCTCTAATTTCATACCTAATATTTTTTCGTATGCTAATTTCCAACATTCACAAAAGCGTCATTGTTATCAACTCCATTGAGACACGCTTTGCCAGGAATGTCTTTGAAGACGCTCAATAAACTCGCAGCACGTGTTTTATCGGGTCTAAAATCACTCGCCGAACACTGCTGCTCGTTTATTAAACAATACTTAGAATTCTCAAACTCATTAATAATTCATAAAGAATACAACGGAAATTTAATGTTTAATGAGTGTTTGGAAATCAGATGAAAAACTGCTCATTTTTGCATCCTTAATTTCTTCTTCTAAAATCCCTTTGTGTGAAGTAATATCAAGCATTCGACATAGTGTTTCATCACCAGAGGAAACACCTCGAAGTTCGTTAAAAATACTCGGTGTTTCATCTGGTGATGAAACACTGCGTCTCATTCTTGATTTACCACTTGACCAAAAACAGCAATATCCTCGTGACAAAGATTTTTGTTTATGAATCTCCCACAGGGCTTGAAAAAAAAACCTTGAATTCCAGCTTGTCCTTTGGGCAAGCAGCTCTCACATTTTGCTTGCCCCGGGGCCACTTCATTGCTCGTCGTAGTTAATCGTTTTAAGCCCCAACATCAACATGCATCTTCTCCACACTGTTCTTCACACATTCTTTATGGTACTGCTTGAGAGAATTTGTTCTAACATCACAACATTTGATCTTTGGTGATCATTTCATTCATTCTCATAACCTGTCTGTTTGATCGGACAATGTTATCGTTGTGAGAAATTGGATGTGAGTCACTATTGGGGCTTAAATGGTTAAAAGTTATTTGCCCAGCATGAAAATCTACTTGTCCCGGACTACCGGACGCGACTTTTTTCGGGCCCTAGAATCAGGAATTTAATCTTTGTCTCCTCCTGTACTATGTTGTAGTAATTTTAAGTTCTCGGAGCACCTCTTTTTATTTTAATTTTCGCAAACAGGCAAACAGAGATTCAGGATGAACAAAAACGGCTTCAAAACCAACAGGAAGAACTGCTTAAAAAACAAAAAGAACAACAAGAGCAGCTTCTGATGCAGCAGTACAACCAAACGCAGCAGCTACAGTTACAACAGCAACAACTTTTACAACAATTAGCAAACAACCTCCAAGCCGCTCAGGACAGACCCGAACGCCCCCGCGTAAAGATTCCCGATATCCCTGTGGTGTCTCCTCCGAGATCACGTTCAATATCTCCGCCCAGTCCGTCGTCCGCGCGGTCAACTCCGCGGTCGTCGTCGCGGTCGTCCCCTAGGGCGTCGGTGAAAGGTTCGGAGAAGTCATCATCTAAAGGTAAGACTAAATGACATCAAATTCAAGCTGAAAACATTTTCAATGAAATTTCTTGGTTTGACTTCACTGATTCGGTATGTCTGTAGAGATTCTAAGCATTTATGGTCGATTTAGGGCCGGTTGTTTAAAAGAAAGTACAATGTAGACAGTGGTTTTAGATAATCGGTACACCTTGATATCTCTTTATTAGAGGGATATTTGAAGAAAATTGGTAAATGTTTTTTTCCAATCTAAACTATCTGCTTTCTTGACAGTTCTCATGCATAGAAAGTAACTCTAAGATACTAGTTTGATTTCACTTGTTTTTGCTGATTTGATGATGGTTTAGATTGCGGGTTTTGTTTCAATGTATAAAAAATGGGCTAAGCAACGACGACGGTAGCGAAAACGTCACCCATCGTGCTGCTTTGAAGTCCATCGCTTATATTTCAGCTCTTTTAATTTGTCAAATGTTGGCGATTTTTTCAGGAGTTGAATTATAAAGGACTGTATCTAAGTTCTTTCCGCAGTGCATATATGATTTATTTCAGATAGCATTAACACTCATTTCTTTCACGGGAACATATGAACCAACAACTGACCCGCTCCCAACGTCAGTGGCTTCATAGCTCAGTTGGTAGAGCATCGCACCGGTAATCGCGAGGTCACGGGTTCAAACCCCGTTGAAGTCCTGATTTTTTTGTTTCAGGCTTCTTTACGCAATTGCATAAATTGCGTTCACTGCGACGATCATTTCATCATTTTCATTTCATTTCCGCAGTTCATATATGATTTATTTCATATGTCATTAACAAAAAGAAAACCGTCGTCTAGAGTTCACGTCCTCCAAAAAAAGGAAAAAATAGGACGTTTCACGTCGTAGTCGTGCAGTGACGGCAAAGAAAGGTACAACTCAAAAGCGTGATGCACGTGCAAAGTTGTTGTTTTGCCATTCTCGTTGCCATCGCCGATGCCATGGCTTCCTAATCCTAGGGTTTTTCTTAGCAAGTGCGGGAACGCTTAAATGTCTAGGATATTGGGGTAGGTTGGTTCGATGCATAAAATACGTTACCGTGGTTGGTTTAAAGTGGAACGTTTTGAATTTGTTTGCCTCCCTCATCTACTGGAACTGCCGTTCAGTTCACCAATATATTCCTCTTTTTGTAGGTTCCCCTCGTAGTTCGCAAGAATCATCAAAGAAATCTTCATCACCTGGAAAACCTTTAGCTGAGTCTTCAAGACCAACGTCTGCTAGATCAAAATCATCTAAACGATCTTCTCATAACAGCCTGCCTCCAGGATCTGATGATGAACACAAAGAAGAGGAAAGCGACAAAGAAGAAGGCGAGAAGCAGTCTACAAAGAGTGAAAAAGAAAAATCATCATCCTCTTCGTCATCGTCGTCGTCGTCATCCTCCTCCTCATCAGACTCTTCTGATGACGAGAAGCCCGACGGAGAAGATGAGGTGCCGGCCGCTGCCCTCGCCGCTGGCAGCGAAGATGAACCTCCCGCGGTCCAGTTCCACGTATCCAATGGGAACGAAGCGTGTCTTTTGACTAAAGGATCTCACGGGCTCCTGATATGTAAGTTTTACCAATACAAGTGCAGTCGACAACTCCCTCAAAGACGGACACCTTTGAGAGTGACCTTAAGTGTCCTTCTGAGAAAGATGTCCGTCTTATAGAGTCAATTAGAGAGAGTAAAGAAAGGCGGTGACCAGCTGTAGATGTCCGTTGTACCGATGTATTCGTCTCTTAGAAGTGTCCGTCGAGAGAGAGAGTCGACTGTATATGTATGTATCTCCAATTTCATTAGCAGTAAAACGTAGCGGCTCCCATAACAATAGTAGTGATACTAAACTTATAAAACCACAGTAAATTCCTCAAATGTGAGTACATCATAACTTCAGTGAATTCAGTGTAATAACTCAGTTTAAAATTGGGTCGTGATGTAAAGATGCTGAGGATGAAAATGGCACAGCGTTAAAAAACGTTGCAGAAAAATCAAACGCGTAATAGAGCTTTATTGTAGACAGTAGCTGAAGAGGCCTTTTCTCGACGAAAATTCAGAAAATTAAGTGTAACATATATGCTTAAAACATTTCAATGTTAGGAGTTTTCGATAGAATAAACAAGTAAAAAAAACCCGCGACTGTGAGCGTTATTGGTGACCCATTATATTAGTAGGTAATAGATACACCTTATTCTATGGTTTAGCATAAAATACTGGTTAAACCAGGACACTACAGTGTATTACGGCCTCGTATTTTGCGCGTTCTCTTAACCTTATATGGTAAAATGACATAATAGTGGAATAGTAAAATGGTTTATATGTGAAATATGGAAAATAAAGCGCCCGGCACCATTTGATAACACACACTTATTTAGGTCTTGCGGGTATTTCCCATTTCAGCTCGCCTTCCTCCGGACCAGGACCCCGCTGTAGAAACAGGCCGCGTTCCAAGATCGCTAGAGGTGGGAGAAGAAGTTCTAGCTCGGTGGTCGGACGAGGGATGGTATTATCGAGGTAAAACTTGATTGACTTTCCCAATTCTATTACCTTTTTCGGTATCCCTGGCTTGTTCTCTGTTACTTTGCGCCTGTACAACGCAGGTGGTTTCTATGTCCGAGACTTGAAAAGTTTAATTGTTATTGAAACGGGGCCACCAGACCGCCCTATATGCATAGTTAATGTTTTACAGTAAAATTTGTCCCCACGACTAGGATCTTCCTAGGGCTCCTTATAAGTACTAGGATCTTCCTATCTGAGGGGTAGGAAGATCCTTGTACTAGGAAGATCCTAGCACCATGTAAACTGCCTTCGCTAGGAAGATCCTAGTATTAGGGACAAACCACGCAAAAATGGTGGCGGGTCGTTCAGTGGCTAATCACGGGAATAAAGGCCGACCATTTCGTTTGGCCTTACCGCGAGCTGATAATTGTGATAATTCTGCTGAAAAGTAGTTATTAACGGCAGCAAAGAGAGAAGAAGGGCCCAAATTGCAGTTCTTGTTTTTGTTGCCCGCCATTTTTAATTCGTTCTCGAACCTTCTCGTCTTGGGCACTACACGGACCGAAATTTCTGCATGTAAACCCAACGTAAAGTTGTTCCGCCTTCAAGGATCTTTCCCCTCCATTTGAACAGCCCCCATAAAACGAAGGAGCGATTCTAGCCCTGGGAAATCTTAATTGTTATGGAAATGTCTGCGAGCAGTCCCTTTTCAGTCGAGTCGAGACAAGCGAACAAGTCGATAGGAGAACTGAAAAGAGGCTGCTTTTATCTCATGATTGAGTTTAACGCAGATGAGTTTTGTTTTGTTTCCAGTCTAATCAGCCCGTCTAGAATACTAATATTTGCGCTCTTCTAGTATTGGGCTACGAAGAACTACGTATTTATATTGGTTGAATAAAGTTGTTGTTGTTGTTTTAACTGTTTTTATTGCTTTCATCAGGCACCATCAAGCAAGATTATGGAGATGGAAGTTATTTCGTAGAGGACAGCGTAGGTGACCTGGAACAAATCTACAGACCGGATATCATCACAGAAGCAGATGATGCTGAAAATGAGATCGGTGTACATGATCCTGTGATTGCGCTTCATCCTTCATTTCCTTACGCTTATGCACCAGGTACGACAGTCATGAAGATTTATCTTTGTGCATGATTTTGGGGAAGTTGAACCCTGTATTTCATTAATAATCAAACACTATTTGTTTATTTGCACATGCAAGGGCTCTGGACTTATTTTGCTGGAAATGCCCAACAAGTTTTCTCGGGT